TGTTACTACCCAACCCAGGACTTCAAGTATCATCATACTTTTAAGCCATTGATACAACCCTGTCTTTTCTAGTTTTTAAAAGGTAAGCAGCTGTATCAGAAAAACTTTAAAGAGGACAACAGGGGTACTGTGGACAAGAAGGTCTCCCTCCCACACCCAATTTCTCACTCCTCAGGCCTCTGCAGAGGCAATGCTGTGGGCAGTTTGTTCTCCAGAAATGGGCCTGTAGACACAACAACATATGTGTCAGAATGTTTATGCAGCCCACACACTTACATATAATGGTGACCCAAAGAGCAATTGACTCAGCAGAAATTCAAATTTTCATTCATTTGACGTAGCCTGGCATTTTCCTATTCCAAATATCTAGTACCAGTTATTAGGGGAAATGGCCAATTTAATAATCTTTGTTATATTTGAGAAAGGACTAAGGAAAGACTTAATAAAATAACTTATAAACCCATAAAAATAATTAAACAGTAATAACTGGAAGGTCACAGAACAAGATTCTTATTTTTTTAATTCTACCGCTCCTCAGTTGCCACTGCATAATAGAATCTTTTAACTTTGAGCCTGATCGCGTTGGGCTGCTGCAAAAACCACCACAGGCTGAGATGAACTAAGTCCCACTGCAGAGGTGAACTGGAGCTGAGATTTCCATCTCCAAATGCTTAATGCTTGAAGAGAGAAGGTTCTGGGCCGTGTCAACAACCAACATCAGCTGCTTTAGGTAACTGGGACTATTTGTTGCAACACTGCTGGTTCTTAGTAGAAATCAAGAAAGCACAGACCTGGTTGTTTGTGCTGGCTTTGCTTCCTCGCCCTCTTTACATCATAGAACACATACAGAATATTGTTTATAGGGCACCCACAGGAGGCAGGATGTAAACCCAGGAGGCAGCTTATGAGCAGAAAACCCACCATCCTTGACACTCTGTTGGCCCAGGTTCTACCCCACACTTTTCCTCTCAAAGGGCATATCTGAGCACACGGAATCAATTACAGCACTGGAATTTGTAGTCATTTGCCACCCAAGTGAGACCTGCAGACCACTTTATTTATTACAGCAGCAATAGCACTTGGAACTTGTTAGAAAAACTGACACTGAGACCCATCGAATCAATACAAGCTTCCCAAGTAAGTCTTGTGAACATTTAAGTTTGAGAAGCATTCTACAGGTAATGTCTACTCCTTAACATGCTTATAAGGCCCTTGGAGAGCAAAGCCTTACCTGCCTTTCCAGCCTCATTGTTGGTCATTCCTCTCTCCCAACCTAATCATAGTGAAGTATCTTTAATACTTGAGAACACTCTGCTCTTTCTAGTCTTTCCTTTACACTAGCTGGCTCTCAGCCTAGAATGCCCTTTACCTACCCTGCTGAACTTTTACTTATCTTTCAATTGTCAATTTCAATTCACGTTATAGGCCTACCTCAAGAAACAAGAAAAATGTCAAACAACCTACCTTTCACTTAAAGGAACTAGAAAAAGAACAACAAACAAAGCCCAAAGTGAGTAGAAGAAAGGAAATTATTAATCACGATTAGAGCAGAAATAAATGAAATAGAATCTAAAAAAAAATTTAAAAAAAAACAAAAGATCAATGAAACCAAGAGCTGGTTCTTTGAAAAGATNCGATTAGAGCAGAGATAAATGAAATAGAATCTAAAAAAAAATTAAAAAAAAAACAAAAGATCAATGAAACCAAGAGCTGGTTCTTTGAAAAGATAAACCAGATTGACAAACCTTTAACCAGACTCATCAAGAAAAAAAAAGAAAGGACTCAAAATCAGAAATGAAAGAAGTGAAGTAACAACTGACATCACAGAAATACAAACTATATGCCAGCAAGTTGGACAAACTGGAAGAAATGGATAAATTCCTAGAAACATATAATCTCCCAAAACTGAATCAAGAAGAAACAGAAAACATGAACAGACTGATTACAACTAATGAAATCGAAGCAGTAATCCAAAACTTCCAACGAACAAAAGGCGTGGACCAGATGGCTTCACGAATAAATTTTAGCAAACATTCAAAGAAAAAATAAAATCTATCCTTCTCAAACTATTCCAAAAAATTCAAGAGGAGGAGAGACTCCCAAGCTCATTTTATGAGGTCAGCATTATCCTAATTCAAAACCAGATAAAGACACTACAAAGAAAGAAAATTATGGCCAATATCCCTAATGAATGTAGATGCAAAAATCCTCAACAAAATATTAGCAAACAGAGTTCAGCAATACATTTAAAAAATCATACACCATGATCAAGTGGAATTTATTCCAGAGATGCAAGGTTAGTACAATATTAGCAATTCAATTGATATGATATACAATATAAACAAAATGAAGGGTGAAAATCATGATCATATCAATAGGTGCAGAAAAAGCTTTTGACAAAATCCATCACCCATTTATGATAAAAATTCTCAGCAAAGTGGGAATTGAGGAACATTTCTCAACATAATAAAGGCCATATATGACAAACCCACAGCCAACATCATACTCAGTGGGCAAAAACTAAAAGCATTTCCCTTGAGATCAGGAACAAGACAGGGATGCCCACTTTCACCACCCTTACTCAACATAATACTGGAAGTCCTAGCCACAGCAATCAGACAAGAAGAAATTGGAAAGGAAGAAGTAAAACTGTCATTATTTGCAGATGACATGGTACTATATATGGAGAACCCTAAAGACTCCACCAAAAAACTGCTGGAATTGATAAAGTCAGCAAAGTAAGCAAGAAACAAAATAAATATCCAGAAATCAGTTGCATTTTTATACACTAATAATGAACTATCAAAAAGGGAAACTAGGAAGACAACCTCATTTTCAATTGCATAAAAAAATACCTAGGAATAAATTTAACCAAGGATGTAAAAGACCTGTACTCAGAAAATTTTAAGAGACTGAAGAAAGAAATTGAAGAAAATACTAGTAAATGGAAGCACATACCATGCTCATGGATAGGAAGAATTAACACTGTTAAAATGTTCATACTACCCAAAGCAATGTATAGATTCAACACAATTCCAATCAAAATAACAAGCAAGGCACATTTCATGGAACTAAAATACATAATCCAAAAATATATGGAATGACAAACTCTAGATAGCCACAGCAATCTTAAGAAGTTGGAGGAGTTACTTTTCCTGATATCAAACTTTGCTACAAAGCATAGTAATCAAAACAGCATGGAACTGACATAAAAAGAGACATATTGATCAATGGAAGAGAATAGAGAGCCCAGAAACAAACCCATGCCTTTATGGTCAATTAATATTTGACAAAGGAGGCAAGAACATGCAGTGGGGTAAAAACAGTCTTTTTAATAAATAGTGTTGGGAAAACTGGACAGATATGTGCAAAAAAAATGAAACTAGACCACCTTCTTACATTATATACAATAATAAACTCAAAATGGATTAAAGACTTAAATATAAGACTCGATACCATAAATATCCTAAAAGAAAATATAGGCAATAAAATTTCGGGCATCTCTTCTAGTAATATTTTTTTAAAAAATATGTGTTTATTGATTTCAGAGAGAGGAAGGGATGGGGGGGAGAGAGAGAGAGAGAGAGAGAAACATCAATGATGTGAACGAGTCATTGATCGGCTGCCTCCTGCACGCCCCCTACTGGGGACCAAGCCCTCAACCTGGGCATGTGCCTTAACCAGGAATCGAACCTCCATCTCCTAGATCATAGGTTGATGCTCAACCGCTGAGCCACTCCAGCCAGGCGTAATATTTTTTTCTGATATATCTTCTAGGGCAAGGGAAAACCAAAGAAATAAACAAATGGACTACATCAAAATAAAAAGATTTTTCACAGTGAAGGAAACCATCAACAAAATTAAAAGATGAACCACTGATTGGTAGAACATATTTGCCAATGATACATCAGATAAAGGGTTAATATCCAAAATTTATTAAAAAATCACACAACTCAACACCAAAAAACAAGCAATCCAATTAAAAATGGGCAGAGGTCCTAAATAGACACGTCTCCAAAGAGGTCATACAGATCACCAATAGACATATGAAAAGATGTTCAACATCACTAATCATCAGATAGATGCAAATTAAAACCACAATGAAGTATCACCTCATACCAGTCAGAGTGCCTATCAATATATCAACTAACAAGTGTTGGTGAGGATTGGAGAAAAGGGAATCCTTTTGCATTGTTGGTGGGAATGCAGATTGGTGCAGCCACTGTGGAAAACAGTATGGAGGTTACTCAAAAAATTAAAAATGGAACTGCCTTATGACGCAGTGATTCTACTTCTCGGTACATATCTGAAGAAAGCCAAAACACTAATTCAAAAGAATATATGCACTCCTATGTTCCTTACAGTGTTATTTACAATAGCCAAGATATGGAAGCAACCCAAGTGCCCATCAGTAGAACAGTGGATTAAAAAATGTTGGTACATATATACAATGGAATATTACTCAGCCACAAAAAATAATGGAATATTACCATTTGCAACAGCATAGATGAACCCCCAGAGAGTATTATGCTAAGTGAGATGAGCCAGTCAGAGAAAGACAAATACCATATGATTTCACTTATATGTGGAATATAAAGAACAATATAAACAAACAAAAAGAAATAGACTCATAGATACAGAGAATAAACTGATGGTTGCCAGAGGATGAACCAGAGGGTGATGGGTAAAAAAGATGAAGGGATTGAGAAGTATGGACTAGTAGTCACAAAGTAGTCATAGTGATGTAAAGTGCAGCATAGGAAATATGGTCAATAATATTGTAATAACTCCATATAGTGCCAGTTGGGTACTGGAAATATCAGGGAGAACACTTTGTAAAATGTATGATTCTCTAACCACTATGCTGTACCCCTGAAACTAATACAAAATAATATTGAATGTAAGCTGTGATTGAAAAAAATTAAATAAAAGTCAAGCTTCACCTGCCTAGCTGATTAGGCAGAGCAAGACACTGGCCCATCTTCCACCCAGGTTGTGCCCTAGATCAGATGATGTGACTTGGTTATAGTAATTATTACATTGGACAGTAATGGTCTGCTTACTGTCTATTTTCTCAAGCAGATGTGAGCTCTTGATGTCAGAACCTTTGGTGTATTCATCTTTGAATTTCTAGCAAGCAACACAGCACATGGTAGGTACACAATCCATGCTTATTAGATAAATCGACCAGGGACTCTTGCTGGACTTTTCTGCCAGAAAACCATTTCCTCTAAAGACAATAGTGTACATAACATTTATAAATCATTTCAAAATAATTCTGTTTGTATTTCTCTGACTTGTGGCCAGTTTTATAAAATGCAGGATAGTATCTAAACCCATTTCTTATGCCTCAGGCCAGATATAAAATTATGATCTATCTTTTTAGGATTTAATATATTTTAACTGTAATAGAGTCATTGCAAAGAGAAATAAAATCATATCAAAATAAACTATAGATTAAAAACATCTTCTAATATGACTGCTGTCTACTAAATCACTGTCCAGTTCTTATTTTTCAAAAATGTAAGACTATATATTCACCACTCACTATTTTTTCTATAAAGATAATAAAAAATCATTATTTCTAGCTGGTCTGTGTCCACTTTAGAAATCAAACTCTCACGTAGTATTCTTTTTCTTCCCTAAGCATTGTAAACTTAACTCCATACACTTCTTTGGCTGGCCTTCTCCATGCAGCACTTATCAGTCCTTGTCTGGGTGCCAGCACCATATCACTGTGTTAGGGAGACTCATACAAGGAAGTGTTGTAAAAGACCAATTTCTCTCTTATAGCTGAGCAATTATTGATGTAATTTACCAGAGTTGTCCTCCATGAGACCACACCCAGTGCTGCGTAAAGCTGAGCAGACAGAGTTTCTTTCCTCTTCTGAGTTTAGGAAAGTAGGTATGAAGGGAAGGATGTGAACTTTTGTAAGGTCTGATACAGGCATCTGCCTCTGAGACGAGAAACTTTTAGGATGTTAGAAGGGGAGGTGGTGGTGACAGCAAGGACTGAGCAGACAAAGAGGAGCCAACAGTTGACTGCTCGCCATCCCTCAGAAAACATGAAAAGAGAGCAAGTAATTTTAAAATATAGAGAATAAAACTTAGGCAACACAGACAATTTATTTGGAACCCCTGGCTTAGGAACTTGCTTCTCTAATGCAGAGACTCTCTATTAAAAAGAAAGAAAATATTACATTTGTGAAATGGGCTTTGTACAGAGCCTCAAAACCGTGGCTTAGGGGCCTAAAGAGTTAATGTGGCTCCTTAAATCCCTCACAGGGATGAAAGGGGCCCAGAGAGTGTCTCCCAGATCTGCTTCACAGCCTAAGGAAGAAATACCTAAGCCTTACTATCAAAGAGTATAAGAAAATCATTGATCTCCATTGTCCTGACTAGCTAATCAGTCACTAAAAACATAAAACAGGAAATTCAGAGCTGTCGCCCTCTTCTAAGAGTGCCAACCTATTTTTACCGTCCAGAAAATCCTGCACATATCTCCTTTCTCCATTCATGCCTCAAAGACACAGGAGTAAGTCAAGTTACCTGGACTGTGATTTTGCTGTTCGTGTACACCAAATCCCTTTCATGTTCTCACAGAACTGGGCCACTGAATGTAAGATTCATGCCCTGCCAAAAAATGGGCTCTAGTGCAATCCCACTAGTACCACCAACTGAACCCTTCAGAAGAGACCTTGGGGCTGTAAGAAATCAGGTGCAGCAGAGCATCTACAGATCTAAGAAACACATTCTTCCCTAACCAGGATTCGCCTACACTTCAGGCTGAGGAGATTGCTATCCAATGGCTAAATAGCCACCTCTTGTCTGGAGATGCTTTTCGTTCCAGATTTCTTAATACTCTTTACACATCTGCCATGGCACTTAGCTTCTTGTATTAAAATTGCCTATTGATCTATTTGTCTCTCCTCAATGGCAACAGGTAGCCCTTGATTAGGGAACTAAACCTTATTCTGTTTCAGATTCCCAGTGCTTACAATACATAGTAGGTGCTTGTTAACATTAGTTGAATTTAATTCATCTAAGCCAGTTTTCCTGCCCAGCCTACTGTCATTGGAAAGTGACCGGGACAGTGGTGGGTCTGTCCGAACACAGTCTGGAACGTGTGGGTTCTTGACTTCATGCAGGAAAGATTTTACTACACGAATACAGGTGTGGGTTTTTTTTTGTTGTTGTTAATATATATGTTTTTATTGATTTCAGAGAGAGGAAGGGAGAGGGAGAGAGACAGAAACATCAATGACGAGAGAGTTGCCATTGATCCACTGCCTCCTGCACACCCCTGACTGGGGATCGAGCCCACAACCCCGGGCATGTGCCCTGACCAGGATTCGAACCTCAAACTCCTGGATCCTAGGTCGATGCTCAACTGCTAAGCCACACTGGCCAGGCCAGGTGATTTTGAGAGTATGTTTGTTAAAGCTGTGGGCAGTGAAACAAAGTAAGGGCTTAAGGTAGAAGAGGCAAGATCATAGTAATAGGAGTGAGCCTGGGCAGAGCGAAACATGAGAAAGAGTAGAGCCTAGGCAAGGCTGCCTTGGCCCTTTTAGAAAGAAAGTCACAGAGGCAGGAGAAGTGAGTCAGCTGGGCTGTGTGGACTCAGGAAACAAGTTATAGAGGCAAAAGGCCCTTGGAGACAGGTTCAGGAGGTTAGCCCTGGATGAGCTGCTGCTGCCTACTGCTCCTCTGGTTGCAAATCTCTTGGGGAGCATTAGAGCTTAGGAGAAAGAAAGCAAACATACACACCTGAGGAAGGAGAACGTGCAGTGGGTCTTTTGTCTTAAGGGTTTTTATCTGTTTTCTAAAGGTGGGAATTTTATGGGAGGTCCCAGGAGGATCTCAATAGAATATTCATCAGCTTTCCAGGTGTGTCCTTTAATATGCTGATTCATCAAAATGAGCGTATAGACATTCAAAGAATGTCACCAACTAAGGTGAGTCTGTCCCCATAGAGTCTGGGATGTGTAAACCATTTGCTCCTAAGTGTCCTTGGTTAGGGGAAAATAAGGCCTTGTGATTTACTACCTGGCTGTAAATTGCTTGGCTGTCTCAGTTTCCCCATTCCACTTGCCAAGGAATTTTCCTCATTTCTTACTATCCTGTCTTAGTACTGGAAGGCAAACAGAGCTCCCCACTCAGCTAAGTGTCCATTCTGGTCACCTTTAACAAGCCATTTCCTATGCCAGATCTCATTACTGTATGCCACAGGAATCATAAAATGTACCACCTGGATCAGTAGAAATAGTAACAGCTTGATGTGTTCCTGTCTATAAAATGCCCAAAGCTCTCCAGAGGAGAGAAGAGGCTGTTTGGTTCAGAGTTTCTAGAACTGAGAGGACAGTATGTCAGACCACCCAGTGAATCTCACAAATAGGACAGAACTTACATTACCCTTGTTTTGTTTGTTTGTTTTTTTAATAAACTTTTTATTTTACAGATTTCAGATTTACAGAATAATTGCAAAGATAGGACAGAGAGTTCCCAAATACAAAGCATCCAGTTTCCCCCAGTAGTATCATCTTGCATTAGTATGGTGCATTTGCTACAATTAACTAATATTAATGCATTATTAACTGTATGCAGATTTCCTTAGATTTTCTCTGGTGTCCTTTTTCTGTTCCAGGATCCCATCCAGGGGACCACATTACATTCAACCATCATGTCTCCTTTTGGCTGTGACGGTTTCTCAGACTTTCCTTGTTCTCCATGACTCTGGGGAGTACTGGCCAGGTATTTTGTAGAATGTCTCTCAAATGGAGGATTCATCTGATATTTTTCTCATTATTAGAAGGAGATTATGGGATTTTGGGAGGAAGCTCACAAAGTGTATTTTTATACATTTCTACTTTTTAAAAATCCTATGCCAATTCTTCCCTATCTCCACCTCCTGAAAGCTGTTACTATATTGATAGTGCCTGTTAGGATCAAGGAAATGGGGGCTTATTCTGGTCTGTATTACAGGAAGTCATTCTTACCTGCTTGGATATCACTAGTGGGAATGGACCCCTCAGAGAGGCCCCGGGAGGAGTAGCCTTAGAGCCACAGACTTGGGAGTGAGTGAGCTGAGAAGAGCGGCCAACCAAAGGCAACCAGCCCAGCATAGAAAACAGAACAATCCTGGCAGTTGCCCTGGGAGAAGACACTGCCTGAGGGATTTCCTCACCCTTTGTAATGAAAGACTGGAATGTGGAATAACAAGTGACGAAAATATGGCCCAAACCAAGGCACCTGGTCAGAGAAACGCCCATGCCCTGTCCAGTGGAGTAAAGGCAAAAAGGGGAGAGTTTAATGAATATGTCAGGTATCAGGGGGTGACTAATTAAAATGGAGCTAATCCGGGAAGTATCCTAAAGTTAAAATCCTAAGGCTCAGAAAGCTTCTAAATAAGCTAGCTGGAAAAAAAAAATGTTCTGGAAAAGATCAGGAAATCTCTCTCTTAAAAAATCCCCAACAGCACAAAAAAAGCCTGAGTTGCCATCCGCATGCACCTGCTGGCAGGTGGGAAGGCAGATGCTGAGTCTCAGGAGCTGAGTTACACCTCCCCCTGGCCTCTCCCATGTGATTTAAACTTGGAGTCGTGTTCAGGGGCAGTTAACCTGGGCTGAGTAGGCTTCACCCGCCAGGCCCAGGACATGGAACCAAGCCAGCTGGCCCTCCCTGCAACAGTGAACTTGGACTGTGGCCACTCAGCCAGCCAGCGACCGAGCTGCCAGCACAAACAAGTGTAACGTTCACCCTCGTTTGGGAGCTCTGGTGAGGATCAGAGGAGCTCGGTTATCCGAACGCGCTTGGGAATCCGTAAAGTGCTTTTAATTGGGAAGTATTATCAGTGTTCTGTTAAGCTCTTTGCCCAGGTCTCAGTCTCTGAAGAGTGTGGAAAGAAAGGAATGCAGTGATTTCTCCTCTTTATGTACCCTTTTCTTTTACATTTAAACTCCAGGTATTATATTATAGGTGGTGCTAATGAATAGTAATGACAGAGGAGTCATCAAGCCCTCAGTGTGCTAGTTGCAATTCTAAGCTCTTTACAGGTGTGGATTCATTTAATCCTCATAGCAACTCTCGTTGTGCACGTCATTACAGATGAGTAAACTGAGATCCAGAGAAGTTAAATGGATTGCTAAGGGTCAGATAGCTACAATGTGGCTGTATCGGTTGGGACTAGGTTTGGTCGTATAACAGAGAACTCAAATAACATGGTTAAAACAAATTAGAGTTTAATTTTCTCTTGAGTAAAGGAAGATGGGAGGTAGGTGGTCAAAGGCTGGAAGAGCAGACTCACGTTCTTAGGGACTCAGGCTCATCTTTCTTTCTTCTCTAGACATCTTAGCACAGGACTTCTATCCTCAGGTTCTCCTCTACAGTCCAAGATGGGGTCAGAACACCAGGCACCAGAACTGTGTTTCAGTGAGAAGGAGAGGGCCAAGGGCTTTCCCAGAAGCCCCACCTGACAACTTCCACTGACATCTCGTTGGTTACCCCTGACTGCAAAGAAAGCTGGGAAATGTGTTTGCTTTTTTTTTTAAACTTCTGAAAGTTCACATTTCTGAACGTTCTTTAAAAGAAAAAAGACAATAAATTTTAGACCCATGCACCACAGAATATAGCTTCTCAGAAAAGAATTGTGGTTTTTGTTGGCAGGTGACAATAAGGCTGTATTACTGTTTTTTTCCCCCACTTGCAGTAGTCATTTGAAAAATACAAACAAGGTGGTGTATACTTTTTTTTTTCCAGTTAGAACTTTAATTAGACTTCCAGTTTCCCCTTATCTGAAATGTAGTCATAATTGGATGAGATTCTGTAACTTCATAGTATTCAAATGATTATTTTAGACTCTTACAATGAAGAATAAAAGAAAGATGGAAGTGGTTTTAGAAGAAATACTTTTCTTCCTTACTTTAATTCTGAAATTTGTATCTGGAGGTTTTCTTTCTGCAAGATATGCTCACAGATTTCCCTTTCAAAGAGCAAATGTCCAATAGTAAAGCTTTGATTTGTCTCATAAGGAAAGGAAAAGAATTTTTGAATTTGATATTTAGAGAATTTCTTAGTTGAGTTATACTGTACTTGATTACAACAAAACCTTTTTTTAAAATCTCAGTTTCTCCAGTTATAAACTATGGTCATTCATTTATTCATTCATTAAATATTTGTGAGCTTAAAAGGTGTTAGCTGATTTATATGTGATAGTCATTTCTGTCTCAACGTTCACAAAATAATTGGGTAACATGTAACAAATTATTTAAACTTTGTACCTCAATGAGTACTTTTACAGTTAAACAGAAAGTATTTCTTTTCATACAGGTAAACCAAATTTGGTATATTAAAAAAAGAAACTGAAAACTTTTGGAATCATGAGATACCACTATTTCTACTATGTACACATTACACATAGAAAAACATATTACGAATCTTTACATAGAAGGTTACTAAAATATAAATATTAACAATTTTCCTTTTTAACAGTAAACAACATATTGTGAAATATCTTTGTGACATATAGTGCTCTCCCCTAGAGCTAATACAACTCTAAAATAGACATATTTGCAGAAAATATTCTTCTCATTTATATTAATGTAGCCATTGGTTCTCTAAGGAAATATTTAGAAATATTGCTACTGTGTTCTAGAAATGTTTTAGGAAGAAAATCATTGTAGATGAATCCTCTACAATGGAAAATATTATAATAACCTTTCCCCTGATAGAATTCAAAATTGTGCATGTCATAGTAAACAAAGAGATATGAGATCTGCATCAGAGCCTAAGGCTATGGCTGGGTGTCATGGTTTATTTTCAGTTTATTAGTACTGATTGCCTTCGGACACTAAACAAGCCATTCAAACTATTGAATTTTTCACCTTTTTTTTTTTTGGTCAGAGTACACAGCCAACAATGGCTGTGGGAGGAACCTCAGAGCACCCAGAAGCTGGAGACCTGTCTAAACATGTGAGTACTGAGAAAAACAGCCACAAAAGTCGTTCGAGTCCTTAAAATAAAGTATTTACTTCAAATTACAAAACACATAGAACCCTCCATTTTAATTATGGATTCACATAAGAAGCAAATGAAGTAAAGCAGGGTCAGTGGGAGAAGGGAAGCAGCAAGAATGGCAAGGCTGAAGGAGTGCTCTGTGCAAAGGTAGTAAATATGGGTTACAAAAAGCAGAAAATAGGTTAGCAAGTAAAATTCTCAACACGCTTTTCCTATTGTGCCCTTGATGTTATTTAGAAAAAGATGATTTTAAATTTTTAAACCTACACCATAGCTTTATTTTTTGCCTTGGCTGGCTAGTTTGTAGTTTGGGGACAGGTGATAAATATGCCTCCCTTTTGGCTAAAAGCTTGTCCTTCCTGCTTCTTAAAGTCAATGTTATTTTTATAGTATGATGCTTATAGAGTTCCTTTCTTAGCATTTTTTCTACTCCGCAAAATTCCCCCCAGATACTTCCCTCCTCTATAATAGAACAACAGTGCTGGAGTCCTAGCAAATATTTAATAAATCAGTGGCCTATATTGGTGGTGTTAACACTCTTAATTCAAATTAATGGAGACTTGAGCTGCGCTGTTTGTTGAGGAACACTGGGACAATAAGAAAGAGATTTTAAAAATATGTCTTGGTGACAAAATAGAACAATAGACACACTTATCCTTTGTGCCACAGCCAGTCATCTCCTTGTTCGGTAATCACACAGCAGCCAATCTTACACTAATTACTACCTCTTAACACACCCTATTCTTCTCACTCACGGCTGTGAAAAGCCGTACTAGATCTGAGTCTGAGGTCCCGCAAATTATCTTCCCCCTTCCTCCCCCTCCCTTTCCTCCCCAACACTCACAATAACCAACCTTCTAAAATAAACAAGGGACAGCAGGAAGAGGGCTCTTAGAGTCGCCCATTTGTCTTATTACCAGCACTAATCAGTAACTCCCTTTATCTCTGGCTTATAACATCTCAAGGCAATGCACTCAGGATCCTTTAGGATGGTAAAACCGTGGAGGCTTAGCTATGGGGCAGGAGGAGTCATACGAAGTGGGCCTTTGCCCAAGACAATGACTGAAGTTCTTCAGCCTCAGAAAGAGCAAACTTTCCTGGCAGACACACAACCAGGCATGATGAGAGAAGTAGATCAAAGAAACTAAAAGCGGAGTATGTGGTTAAATTATTCATAATGATGCTGCAGCTGTATTGATCAGAGGGAGTTTCTCTCTTAACCCTGCCTTCCCTGTACCTAAAGAAGCTGTCACCCTCCCCTCCCCCAAAGAACTATGCCCCAATGTCAAAGGGCCTGGGGTGGGTTACTGGTGAGGATCTTAGTTAAGAAAAGACTGGTTATCCAATATAGTTCTACCATATCTAATGACAAGCAAACTGATGATCTCTTTGCATATCTCATTTCCTAGGAAAGAAATGGTATATCATTTCACAGTGTACCCTGCAGGAAAAAAAGGTTCTGCCCTCCCTACCCGAATCATATTACTTCGGCATCAAAAAACCTAATACAAAGTTGAAGCTTTCAAACCACAGCATGGTATTAAAAGGACATTGATATTTTAAGAATCTTGTTTACTGCTGAATCTGCACTGCCAGAACACTACTAGACCCACAGAGGTGGTCAGTTATATTGACTAAATGAATGAATGAATGCTGTTCTATTGAGATTTAGTGAATGGATTTGGGATTCAGGCACTAAAGGCCATGTGCTCAGCAGCATGTTAGGGGGCTGCTGGCTTCTACGCTAGTCTGAGGTGGCCATACCAGGCTTCCTCCTGGGCAGAGGCTTGCTTGCTAAAGAAATAACTTGTCCTGGGAGATTAAGGATGAATTTAGGATATGTACACACAGTTCCAACTTTGCCATTGGGAAACTCTAAGAAAAGGACCGATTCTTTGTCCTTAAACAATCCCAAAGCAGTTTGCCACCCTCTTTAGGCCAAAGATTGTGTGTGATAAACTTCTGATGAAAAGAAACTGTTAGAAGATACAGTGTCCTTTTCACCTCAAGGGAGAGGGCACTTGGCAAGAAAATGCTACTAAGGTCACCAGCACTTCATTTGGAAAAAATAAAATCCTCTTCTGATGTAGAGGAGAAAATAAGTATTGGTGGTGGCCTACCAAGCTGGTTCATTCCAAGAAGAAATTCTAAGTATTTGTTCCGGATGGGTGTTGAAAAGCCATCTAGGACAGGTATGTTGTGACATATCTCCATTACAGACAACTTTGGCTAATGTGTTATCTTTCTTCCTAATAGTTAACATTTTACGGAATTAACCAAAAAGCACATTATTGAAAAAGAAGGAGACATTAGGTAGATGTGCCTAGTTTTTTGGTAATATTTCGACATCAGAGAATACTAGAAATAATCAGGTTCCAGCAAGAGCCTAAAAATGGCATCAGTCTTGGATTTGGGATAAGAAGGAAGGTGGAGCCCATGCAAAGGCTCCTGTCCCTCCCATCCCAAATTCCTAGAAATGACAGACCGGATGCTTGCTTTTTTAAAATTATTATTTAATTAATAGCAGTACTAGAATGCAGAAATAGATACTGGGTGGGCCAGAAATTATTATAAGGAAACCTGAAATATGCAAAGCAGATGGAATAATATTAACAAAGATAAGCTACTACCTAAAAATGGGAATGACTTCAAATGTGCTGCTGACTTACAAAGGGTAGATTCAGGGAACAGGAAGAGCCCTAGGCCACCAGGAAGTACTGAGATGGGACAAATGTGGACATATAGAGCAAAAATGCTGAAGAACTTGTTAGTACATCAGACTTAGTCATGTATTAATAGAATTATTATGCCAGCAGGATTTATACCAGAGAGGTTCAAAATTGGAAGCAAAAATATGAATGTAATTCACTCTATTACTAGATTAAAAATGAAAACCATACAATCATGTAAACAGATGCCTCAGAAAGGTATTTGATAAAATTCAAAATGTATATCTAATTTTAAAAATCTTTTTTTAGCACATTAGGAATAGAAAGAACCTTCTAAACCCAAATAAAAGATATTATTAACCTTAAGCCCTTAGTCTCCAAAATCCTCAGCTACAAAGGTGAACTATTAGGGCGGTTTCCATTAAAGTCAGAAGTAAGACAAAAATGATTGACTGTCACTTCTGCTATCCAACATTATACTGGATATTCTAACAAATAAAAGTAAGACAAGAACAAAATAATCTCTAAATATTGGCAAAGTAGAGGAAATAGCCTATATATATTCAGATAATATATTTGACTTTTTAAAAAATTTTAGGAGCATCAACTAACAAACTATTAGAAATAATAAGAGAGTCCACCAAGGTGACCGACCAGAAACAAGATCAACAGACAAAAGCTATAGCATTCAAACTTACTAGCAATATCTATGTAAAGGATATGCATCTGCTCAAAAATTCATGTATATTTGAATACATGACCCCTAAGACATGTATTTTGATTCCTAACTACAATGGTATTAGAAGGTGGATGGGGCCTTTGAGAGGCTATTAGGTCATGAGAGTGGAGCCCTCAAGAATGAGATTAGTGCCCTATAAAAGAGAACCTGGGGAGCTCTCTTACCTCTTATGTTATGTGAGGAAACAGTGGAAGACGACACTACTTGTGTCGTCTAGGTGTGAACCTCTTTGTGTTTATCTCTCTATAGGTTTGCTGAGTTCTTGGATCTGTAAATTAATGTTTTCCATCAAATTTGGGAAGTTTTTAGCTATGATTTCTCCTGTACCTTCCTCTGTTTCTCCTCTCTTTCTCAACACACACACACACACACACACACAATTTGTATTCTACATGGAGTCCAAAATATGGATATAGCATAAATTATTCAAGCATTTATTAGTGAAAATTAAATTGCTTCCAATTTTTTACCATTATAAACACTGCTGCAATTAACACATTTATATATGTCTCCCTGAAGGATGCTTCTCTGAACAGATACGGAAAAGTGAAATTGCTGAGTCATTTAACATTTTAGACACTGTTGCCAAATTGCCCTCCAAAATAGCTATATCAATACTCAAAACCAAAAGTTCTTAAAGGTACACATTTCCTTAGATTCTTAAAAAATTTGTATTATCAATTTCTTTTAGTTGCTGATAAGCTGATGAATGAATGATGGGGTCTCATTATTTTCATTTCTGTTTCCCTTGTTACTATTGTGGTTGTGCATCTTTTCATGTTTATTGGTCATTTGTTTTCCCCTATTTACAAATATTTTCTTTATATCCCTTATCCATTTTTCTATTGGGGTTTTTGTTTGTTTGTTTTTTCTTATTGATTTACAAAAGGTTCTTTATGTATTATTAAGTATATCCTTTATCTGTTGTATATGTTGCAAATGTTTTTTCCCAGTCTCATTTCTTTTAACACTGGTATCTTTTAATGTACAGAGGTTTTCTCATCGCCATTTGATTGATCTATGCTTTCACACTGATTTGAAATATCACCTTTATTATTTAGTAAATAAATATAAATCATGTAAATTCTAATCATGATTTTTTCCTAGATTTTCTACAGTTTTATTGATCTATTTGTCTATCCTTATACCAATTTTTCTAATTATTATAGCTTCATTTTTCTATTTGCTAGAACATTGTTCTTTTATAAATCATCTTGGGCATTCATGTGCATTTCTCTTTGGAATTAATTTTATTTATTTATTTATTTATTTATTTTTAATTGAATTTATTGGGGTGACATTGGTTCACGAAACTATACAGGTTTCAAGTGTACAACTTAACAAAACATCATTTGCACACTGCATTGTGTGTCCATCACTCCAAGCAAAGTCTCCTTCCGTCCCCATTTTCCCTCACTTTGCCCACCTCCACTTACTCCCCACACCCCTTTCCCTCTGGCTATCACCCCACTGTTGTCTTTGTGTACGTGTCATATATATATATACATATACATACACACACACTCACACACATATATGTGTGTGTGTGTTTGAGTAATCCCTTCACCTTCTTTTATCCAGCCCTTCAAGCCCCTCTCTTTGAATTGATTTTAGAATCAACCTGACAAGTTCCTAGAAAATCCTTGACAGTTGTATTGTGATTGTGTTGGATTTACAGATTAATTAAAAAATTGAAGAAATTCATTGTTACTGATAGTCTTACAAGATATACTAAAGGAAATCTTCAGAATGAAAGGAAATGACTAGATAATAAGAGATGATGAGTACCAGAAATGATAAACTCGTGAGTAAATAAACAATATACATATCTCTTCCTCTTAATTTCTTTAAAAACATGCAATCTTTTGTTAGATTGTGTAAAGCAATACTTATAACACTGTATTGTTGAGTTTATAACATATGTGGATGTAATATGTGTGACAATGGAGGAAGAACTAGAACTATATTGTAAAGTTGCTGTATTTTACCAGAATTAAGTATTAATCTAAAGTACATTGTGATCAGTTAAGATTTATATTTTAGTACCTAGAGTAACTATTAAAAATAATAATTTTGTTAAAAGTCAACAGAAAAATGAAATAGGTATACTAATAAATATTTAACACAAAAAAGACAGTAAAGGAGGAACAGAAGAACAAAGACATAAGACATGGGCCACCAACTTTACCTAACTGATATTCATGGAACACTCCACGAACAGCAGAAAACATACTCTTTTTAAGCACACAGGCAATATTACCCCAAATCGATGATATTCTAGGCCAGGGTCAGCAAACTACAGCCCAAGAGTCAGCCACCTAATTTTCTTTTAATCCTCACTGGTGGATATGTTTTTATTTAGTTTAGAGGGGAGAGAGAGAGGAACCACAATGTGAGAGAGAAACATTGATCAGTTGCCGCTATATTCCCCCAACCTGACCTTTTATTTTAGCAACCTTTTCAGGGAAAAGAGTGGCAGCTAGTGTTGCCAGAGGGCAAAGGGATCCTAGAAGTCTTAGCATGAAGAACAGGAAGGGTTAGATACCATTTTGTTCAAAACCAGTCATTCCACAGAAGATGAAACTCAAGGAGTTAAATGGACCTACCCCAGGGGTAGCAGAAACTGTCAGTTTCCTACCTGATATGTCTCTCCCTTTCCTTATAACACATTCTTGATTTTGTTTAGAGTCGCAGTCAATGTTCCCTGAGTAAAATAATCACCTTCTATGCCTTCTTGCAGCAAGGGTGGTCATGTGACCCAGTTCTCACAAGGGAGATATAAGTGGAGGTCATTGGATAGGGTTTGGGGGAAAGTTTTTTGGGGAAACATTTGGCCTGTACTATGTCCTTTTGTCTCTACTTTCCTCCTTCCTGCTTGTAAAGCAGACATAAAATTAGTAGTTCAGCTCTAACACTGTGAATTTTATCATGAGCCAGAAACTGTTTTGAGCATGAAAAACTTTCAATTTTAGAGCAATCTGTCAATTATTGCTAATGTTTGGGAGGAATCCATTCATAGCTACAGACCTTATCTGAATTTTGTTATTTTTCCCTATGAAAGCAAAGAGAA